AAGACCGCTAGAGACAACCTCACCCATATTTTTTTCGCCTGACTGACTAGTTTTCCACATAGGTTATTATTTGTAAAGTATATTAGAGTATCAGTAAAGCAAGTCGCACCAACGAAGCAGTTAATTTCGACGACCTGCTATTTTTGACTGAACTGACGTACATCTAGTGATTCCCGACAATAGGACTAAAGGACCTTTAAGCTACCTCCAGTATTTCCTATTGCTAAATGTGTCGAGGAAATTGAAAAGAGCCTTAGATTGCAAGTCTTTATTAACCAGGTAATAATCGAACACCAGTATATCAAATCGCTGCACTGAGGCACCTTTAATGCTTACAGTTTATTAAATGGGCACAATGTAATCTGCTACCCAAATGTCCATCAGAATGTGGCCGGAATTTTTGTGTATCCCAATAAATTTTATAGTGTCGAAAAGGTCTTTATCATGTTGAATAGTCCACCGTTAGCACAAATCTGCTAAGCTGTGCTCTGTTTTCGAAAAGAATCAGGTCTCAGGCTAGAAAGCAGACGGTTATCTACGCTGATGTTTTTTTCTTGTTTTCAGCCCCAGGTAACCCCACCTTGGAAAACTCATCCGCGGATGCTCTAACTATGTCCATTAACCCCCTGCAATATGACAGAGACTCTGGCCACGTGTATGCGGGCACCTTTGATCCACCTATCGGCTTAGATGTATACGGTGGTGGTTGTGAAAAACACCAACTCCTCTTCGACCCTCACTGTCATGCGGACCTGGCGTTGCCTGCAATGACGTACACTTTCCGCTCGTTTTCCTGCAATCCCAAAAGCATGCTCTGCGCGGAGGGGAACGCCCAAAGAGTAACGACCAAAGAACCAGGTCAGTTATCCGGAGTTCGTTAAAGTTAGCATGATTAGGACGTTTTGGCAGATTTGCTTAATTTAAGTTGACCCAATTGTAAAACAAAACGTGCGGCTTTCGGTGGGATTTGAACCTACATAGTAGAGAGGACCTTAACGCGATATCAATGCTCTACCAGTTGAGCTACAAACGCAAATCTGCCAAACCTCCTTAATAACAAATCACCTTTGTAGTCATTCTTGTGCATTCTAGATGATCGCTTAGGAAATCCTGCTTGGGCCGTCATCTTGTTGTTTCGCATTGGTGGATTCCATAAGCGCGGTAAATTTTGTCGGGTTAAATCACGGCGCAAGTCGTTGGTTTTTATAGCTCAACTGGTAGAACATTAGCATCGCGTAAAGGCATTACCTTCTATGGGGCTTGACATCCCGCCAAACGTCGCGAGTTGTCTCAAGACTAAGTCAACTTAAATTTTATATATTTTGGAATTCTCTCTCCCCAGTTTAGAGTTTATCCCACAATTTAACCCAAATGTCAAATGAACGCAGAAGGCACATTCTGGTCTCTTTGTTTAGCCCTTTGCGTCTTTAGCCACAGTGTGGAAAATAAAGACACCCTTTTCTAGCAAAGAAAACGACTCAATCGCTGGGCAATACTTTTATACGCCTGGCGTTTCGAGATCCGTCGCGGATTTTTCCACGGAGATAAAGTAAGAGAGCATTACTAGATACGGTTTGACGGTTTTTTGTTTGCAATACTGTACAAAAAAATGCAGGCCAGTTAACGCAACATCTCTCTGCGGCAATTGTAACAATCATTTAAGCACAAAATGCCTCCCCCCTGCCTGTGTGTCATAAATAACATTACAATCGAAAGAAAGTGGTGCAGTCTGAACGTCACTCGCCAAATTACGTTAAATTTAAAGTGTGTCATATTTAATGAGACATTTATTCCTATCTGAAGATCCATTTGTTTGTGCTTCTAGAGCCAAACCACCTGTATTTGGCTCGAATGCAAAACGGCAGTGTTTACACAACCTGGCATTCAACATTGTCAACTGAAAACGGGAAAAATCGTGAATTTTGCGTGAGTGTTCGAGAAGGGGAAAAGAAAGAATATCGAACGCCTGTCCGGCCAGGAGACTACAGTCACGTGTTTAATGAACTTAAGCCATCTACGACATACAACTTCACATAGGAAGATTGCGAGGAAACAAATTGTACAGCTTTAAATAGCGCTACGCTCACAACTTTATATACAGGTGAGTTGCCTACTCACTCAGTAGTATTATACCATTATATTTTGAATTCGGCCATCCAAAGTTATTCTCGTTTCATTATACTATGCAAGCCAGGATGTTGTATGGAGCTGGATATCAGACGGAATTTGTCATTATACAGCAATAGAGATGTAGGGTGCATTGCAGGAGCTTTTTGCATTCACCTTTCATTCAATCATGACCATTATATGTCAACCTCCTCACCATGTTGTGCCACTGCTACAACATTAGTCGGCTTGCCAAAAAAAACTCTTAGTTAAATTAAATACTTCGTATAGGGTAAGGTGTT